CGGGCGCGCCCTTCTTCTATCTACACCATAAGATCACGCTATACTCGATCCATCCACCTCCTAACCGACGTTCGGCCAGGCGCGCCCTTTTTCCATTTACAAGTACAGCTACATGCTGTAGTTGTCAGGATACAAGTGATACGAGCGTAGTGTGCTCTTAAGGTGTAGAAGAAAAAAGGGCGCGCCCGGTCTACGTTTCGAAACGTAGGACGGGCGAGCTCGCTTCGCTCGCTCTTTTCTGTAGTGTAGACTAAATAATGGTAAGTTACATTACTTTTCGTACATTCTCTGTATATACATTTCGACTTACACCTTAACATTACAAATTTCTCAAATATTTGTTAATTAAAACATATATTTAGTTCAGATAACATGGTCATTGTATTTAAATTTATTACCTATTTATTTTCTTCTATAATTTACAGATTTTTAAATATTTGAAATACTTTTTATTTTAAAGATAATAAATATTAAAGTAATTACAAAATAGGGTGTATCGATGTACATTTTAAAAAGGATGCAGCTGAAAATATCCTCCGAGTGACGTCACAGCTAACCCAGTAGATGTTGAACTAATTCGGATATCCTCTTTAATTGATAGTAGTCGTTGAATTTGGTTGGCTGCGTTGTCCAATAAATAAATTTCCTTATTTCAAAAGTGGAATAACACAAAGTAATTATGTTTAAGAGTTTTCGAAAAGTACATTGTTTATTACAGTATAGATGATCTAATATTTAATTATTATGCACTACAACAATTCAATCAAAACGGATAAATAAATCGTCGGATGTGACTGGAAATTAGAAATTAGGAAAGTTTTTTAGGAAGAACAATGAAATAAATTTAATCTAATTAATGCTTCAAGTGTTTGAAAATATTCCAAAAATAAGGTACTCTTTTATATTATTTCTTTTTCGTTGATTTTAATTGGATACTTGGCAATACCGCGCAGTTGTAATGTCTGAGAATAACAGATATAATTCCAATTCTATAGAATAAGTTTACATAAATGTTCCTCATAAGTCCCTAATATTTAAAAAATGTTAATTTATTGATTTTCTGGTTGTAAATTTGAAAAGGTCTCCCCTTCCTAAAGCCTAAAATGTAAGTTTTGTAAAAAATGGATTTTTAAGAAAAGGGCGTGTCCAATATTTACTCACAATTTTTTAAACACCAAAAATTATTATTAGACAGAAAATAAAATTTCAATGTGGCAACGTTGCAAATTACAAACTTGTGTAAGTGTTCTGTGCTTGTGTACTTTTGTGACTTGTCAACTTCAATTATAAAGGCGTCGACAAATGTTGGAAAGGAATTATAAATTAATTAATATATTTAACAAATGACATAATTTTTCGTATACAATTTTAGTTAAGATATAAAAAGTAAGTTACTTTAATATACTACTGATAAAACTTCGAAATTACCATATATGGGTAATAGGTAGAAACTGGATAGAACCCATATAGGTATAACCTATAAAATTGCAACTTTTAATTCAATTTTTCCGGATTAATAGTCAGTTATCCGCATTTTTTTATTTAGTAACTGTCTATTTGGAATACGTTCTTTTTAATAGTACCAACATTTTTTCAAATTTCCGACGTACTTAAAGCGTACCGGAGCCACCTGAGATAAATATGTTTTACTATAAAGTGTACTGCTTCATATAAGCTGTAACTACCTACCATTAAAACAATTTATAAATAAAGTTTTACCTTTCTATCTTTTGGAAACTGAGTATTGTTAAAAAATGCAGTAATCATCTCGGTAATCATATTTTCGTTTACAATGGGAAAAATACTTGATTCAACTTTTATAAATACAGCTGATAAATTCATATTCTTCTTCCTTTATATATCCTATATCCCACAGGATAATTTACCCAGATAAATTCAGATTAATAATAAAATTAAACCAAAACAAAAAACTAAGGTTAGTTGTTAGGTGCTGTCAATTTTTAAATGTCACTTAGATGTGCGTTCACTTCGTCATTCTGTATGTAGGTTTGTTCGTTGGCTTGGTTTTGTAAAACAAAAAAAACTTCGACACAAGCTGATTGGTCTATTCCCGATGACGTATAATATCAAATTTTAAATTTCAATTGGGCTTAATTTAAAAACTTTTAGCTTTTTTAACGAACTGATTATTTAGAATAACTTGTATAGCGACTAACTATTACAATATAGTTTATAAAACAGCATATCTCACATGTGAACATGGCCCATTGAAATGACACGTCAAACCATAAACGTCAAATTTTCAAAACAAACATGCTTGTGTTCCAAACAGAAAATAGCATTTATAGAATAATTTATTTACTTGCAACCTTTCCCCACACACCACCTCGCCCCTCACCCATAAACATGGTCAAATTGGGCTAAGCCATTTTACATTCGTCTGCATAGGGAGCGATGTTGCAATTTTTCAATTTTTAGTGTCTATTCCGTCTGTTCAGATGGCAGCATCTTATGGGCCCTACATTTTTAAATCTTATCACAAGAATCCTGAAATAATTAGGCAAAAATAAAAGAATGTATGTTGCGTTTTAACTTTTAAATACTATAAAAAATGATGGAAAGTCCATAACTTTTAAATATTTGTTAAATATCACTTATTAAAATATTTTGCATTAAAAGTAAAACAAACCATAGACTTTCCATCATTTTTTACAGTTTTTTGAACCCATTTATGAAAACAGTTTTTGAAAATATTATCGTTCAAAGCTGTATTTCTTGTGATAAAAAAGTCGCCGTCACTTGTCATTGAACTTGGCCTTAAAGTTAGTGTCGATTATTATTAGAGAGTTTTAGCAAATGTACGTAAGATTTCCGCTAACGTTACGTTAAACTTAGATTGTGACCTTTTTCATAAAGATTGAACGGAGTAGATTACAGTCTATCCCTAAGGTAACGTTAGCGGATGGTTAGCGGCTGTTTGCTAAAACTCCCTATTTACGCGTTTGTCCCCTTCGTACGGCCCTGACAGAGACCATAAATTCCATTCGGCGCTAACTTCAGTTAATTCCCACTTCTGTTAATATCAAGTATATACACTATTAAGCAGGTTAGCTTAGTTTCTCAAATCTGTTTGTGAAATGCGCCATTGCCAAATTTCGATGTGTGACGCCTTGGCAGTGCCTCAGATTTAAGGCAGTTATTTATAAGCTTACTATAAAATACTATAGTCGCCTGTGTATTTATTTATAAGCTTACTATAACTTACTGGAACATGCTATAGTTACCAGAGCATTTATTTATAAGCTTACCATAACTTACTAGAACATACTATAACCAGAGCATTTCTTTATACAGTTTGGTTACTTCCACGACGTCTTATGCCGTGACCAAAGCATGTAACTATTTCTAATCATGTGCAAATAATTTTGAAGATAAGTTTTTCTGTGATTAGGGTTTGTTTTGTTTGATTGATCATCTTTGTTTTACTATGAAAAAATTAAATTTGAAAAATCTAGAGATATGTTATACTGGATACTGTAATTTACATATAATAAAATATGAAGATTGAAAAATATACATATTTCAACACAAAATACAAATATACCACAAAATAAAACCTTTCTTCTTTTTGTTGGAGGAAACATAATTTTAAATAAATAAAATCAAAATTTCCTAAAATTTTTTATGATTAGTCTAATTTGATTTAGAAATCTTACTATACAGAGTGGCCCAAAAGTCTGGAAACGGCCAATTATCTCGTAAATTGCTAGTCCTAATTGTACAAAATTTGGGATACGGAGATTCCAGATTTGATATTTGCAATTTTGCCAGATTTTCCGTTTCTCTTATATTATTAGTCACTTTGGTTTTTCAAATTGATCACCCTGTATATTAAGTCATTATTGAAATCTCCTATTCAATACGAGTTCAACCATATGCAACACTTATGATTTTATGTAGTCTAGAAGGTCTTAAATAAATAAAACAGAAGTCTGGCAACGCCTAATTGTCTCATAAATTTTTTAATACAAACTATTTTCAACTACATTAAAACGTAACAATTGAAAGATTACACCATTTTTAACATAATGGTTACTTTATCAAGTGTTCAAAATGTGCTTCATTTGTGAGTTGACAGTACCCTAATCGATGATAGTGTTAGAGTCAGCGAATTAGGATATCGCCGCCACTGGGGTCGAGAATACCACGTCTACCCGTTTCAGGGTTCAGGACCAGGAGAGAGCGGGGACTTGACTTTCGACCAGCCGAACGCGATGAAGTGATAGGCCTTATGCCCTTTAAAGACATTCTTTATTTTGTTCCTTAATTAAATTACATTTCAAACATTGTTTACGAGATATTTAATAAAACGTTATTAAACCATGTTAACACGTGTTTTATGAAGTGGCTATACAGGGTGTTATAGTATACAGGGTGATAAATCATTTAAAAATAATAATTTTGAAGTTAATTCTTTTAACTTCTAACAAGAGTGGATTTACCACATTTCTCCATGATTGTTTTATTTATTTAAGACCTTCCAGACTACATAAAATCACAAGTGTTACATATGGTTGATCTCGTAATGAATAGGAGATTCCAATAATGACTTAATATACAGGGTGATCAATTTGAAAAACCAAAGTGACTAATAATATAAGAGAAACGGAAAATCTGGAAACATTGCAAATATCAAATCTGGAATCTCCGTATCCCAAAATAGGTGTACAATTAGGACTAGCAATTTACGAGATAATTGGCAGTTTCCAGATTTTTGGGCCACTCCGTATATTACGTACTAGATGAGTTTCTATTGATTTGAATTAAAAATAAAGGTTGGTCTCTAAAAAATATCTTTAGCATTACTTAATATTATTAAAACAAAATAAGCAGAATCGTTGTCTGACAACGGCAGAATAGCAGAGTTTCCATTTTCTAAACTATAAACGTAAACGCGGCAACGTGTTTAGAATCTGCGTGACGTCAACACTTTTCAAAATGTGTATGATAAATGGAAGTAACCTATCCTGTTAAAAAATATTAATCCTTGGGGAAACGGATGACATAACTTCACGATTCTTCTTTTCTTTTTACTTTTCTTGGTTAACCTCAAAAGATCTTCCATCGTAAAATAAAATATTTATATTTTTAAGAAACGTAAGTATACATATACATTAAAGACAAATATTTAAATAAGGTTTTATTTTAGTTAACTAAAGCAAAATGAAGATATTTAGCAGTCTGTTAATAATATCAAGACCAATCCCCAAAGAACCAGTACCATTTAAAGAAATGTTACCCCTTAAATTAAGGGCTACAGTATCCGGAAAAGGTGGTAAATCATCAGATGTTTGTTGTATACACGAAATGTCGGTTATGTTTGCTTGTTTCAAGGAAAACGAATTTAATCAAGACTTGTGTTCTAAGGAAGTGGAGAAATTTCAAATGTGCTACAAAGACAATTTAAAAACAAGTAAAACGAAAAAGGAGAGAGAAGCGAAAGGTGTTTTGACGCCCGGAGAGAAAAAATTATCACATAAACAGCTGAATGTACTGCTTAAGAAGTTTCCAAATGTCAAATAATTTTGTTAATATTTTAGTTGTAAATAGAAATTAAATTACAAAGACCATTTTTGTTGTTTACACATCTAACGAGAAACTACATGTTTATGTATGCACACCTAATGTATTTCATCAAATCATAAATATGAACAAAATTGTTTAGGTTGGGAAAGGTACATAGTATGAAGTGAAGAAAATGAATTAGAAGGTAATAAAAATACCCAGTATGATTTTGATAACTAAAAAATATAGGGTTCATGACAAACCACAATAAAGTAATTAAACATCAGAAGTGCAAAAAAGCATTTTTACTTTTTAGTTTTTTTTAGAAACAAACCTATAAGACTTAGATGTAATTGTATTTGGAGAAACTCGTAATATACTTGGATATAAAAATATTTATAATCACAGTACAAATAATCAATGAGACAAGGTGATAATTTATTATGGATAATATTCAGTTCGAAATTAAACTATCAGTGTCTTATGTAACAATTAGTTTGCTAACTTTTTGTATTGGTAAAGTACCCTTTAGGATCATGCCATCCCATAGATCGTCAAGTGTATCTGATAATGTATTTCTAGCTGATTTGGAAGAATACTTAGGTATATAATGTACCAAAAAAAGATAGTATTGATATTTTTGTTGGAGACATAAACATTAACATTCTTGATCATACAAATCTCATATTAGCAATTTTATCATTTTTTGGTTCAAAGGGAACCGTCAATTCCAGTTCTCAAATACAGTTGACAAATTCATTTTTCAAGAATAAGTCCTGATAATAACCTATTGAGCTGAACGAGTGTAACTCACTGATTCTGAATTAGTTTGTAAAAGAACCAAAAAAAAGCCTGTTAAATCTTATACTAGAGTACAGAAAGTAGTTCTTGTATTGATCATGTAATTGTAAGAAATAACAAAACTGAAAAAATAAAATATCTCACAAAAGCAGCGGTAATTGATACCTAACATTTTCCAATTTATTTGTGTATAAATAGTAAAAATAATGTCAGTAATAATAATTATTCCGAAAGAGAAATAATAACTTCATTTGATACAAATAAATTTTTAAGCTTAAAACTATAAACTGGAATGAAATAATTTGTACAAATGATCCTATCACAGCATGTCAAAAATTCATTGAAATGTTTACAAATCTAAAAAATAGTTGCAGACAAACTAAAATTAATTATATCAATAAAAATAGTAGGGAATATAAACTGTACCATAACCGTTTAAATAAAATAATTATAAATGCTAAAAATAGTTATTACACAAATCAAATTGAAAACAGTAAATTTGATACAAAAATGTATATGAAATAAAAGGTGCTACAAACAAATCCAGTAGTAAAAAGTCCAATGATATTTAAAATTAATTCTGATGCCTTGGTAGGATTCCCCACTCGACCATTCACTGTTGGGTTCTAATTGACAGTGCTGTTCCTAAAATGGCTCTGGGAAACAGTAACAAAGCCTACACAGAACACGAGGCGAAATAACCTTAGCAGTTGAAGCCGATGACACATAAAAAAAAGTCCAATGAAAATATAAATGTCTTTGATGCCAATGAAAGAAATTAACAATAATAAAGAAATGGCTAACTATTATTACAACGAATATTTTTCGTAAGTAGGAATTAACATGGCCGAAAAAATAGCTAAACCTTTAAATAAAATTAATATAAATTACCTAGCACTAGCAAACTCGATGGCTTTGAGACCAGTTAACAAAAATGAATTAATTGAACACATAAACTCTTTAAATAACAGCAGCGCTCCTGGGATTGATGGAATAAGTTCGAAATACCTCTTAACTGCATAATAAATTCAATTTTCGAGACTGGAAAAATACCCAGTGTTTTTAAACATACAATATAGTAACAACTATTTTTAAACGGAACTAAGAAAAATATTTCAAATTGTAAACCAGTTAGTCAAATCACAAATTTTGCTAAAATATTTGAGTAATGCTTAAAAAAGTACGTTATATGATTATTTAAAAAAAAGCAAACATTCTGAGTACAAAACAATTTGGTTTCCAAAAGGGTACAAATACGAGTGATGCCATGAATGAACTAATATCAAGCATAAAAAGTAGCTTAGATAATAACAAAAAGAATATAGGTATATTTATCAACCTTGCAAAGGCGTTTGACATTGTTCACCACAAACCACTGTTAAATGTGCTTGAAAGTAATGGAATAAGAGGAATAGTGTTAATAGTATTTGAAAACAATTTAAACAAAATAAAACAAGTAGTAAAGATAAGGAATGAACATAGTGATATTGGTCACGATAAAAATAGGAGTTCCACAAGGAACAGTTCTGGATCCGATATTATTTATGGTTTACATTAATTCATTGTTACAACAATTTCTTTTGCCGATGACACAGTTCTATATTGTTTGAAATCAACACATGGGAGTCTGTGAAAGAGAGAGTTATCAAGCGTCAGTCTATGGGAAGAAGGGTAGATGCTTGCATACGTGTGGGTGGAGGACACTTCCAACAATTACTGTAAATAATTTGGGTTCTTTATTTTGTTTGATTCTCTTGTAAAATCGTTTTAGATTCAAGATTTTGAATTTTCATTTTACTATAAATCCCGATTTTTAAAATACATAGACTTTAAAAAAATCAGAGGTGTACGTTTTTTTTCTATCCAAACATTCAATATGATGCCTACGTGGCCGTCACTGGTGGAAGTAGAAAATTAATTTTTGCCCCAAAATAAGTGTTTTCACGCATGGTGGGTGCCTACCAAATTTCAACAAAAAATCAAAAGCAGCTTAAGAAAACAAAAATTTTGGTTTTTATTTTTTTACGCTAACACAGTGCATCGTACGAAAGCAAGTCTATGGGCCAAATTTGCTCAAAAATAAATGAATATTTCAAAAATAATTTTGGATTTTAGAAAAAGCAGTGGCGTACCATTTTTTTCTTCAAAAATATTCAGTTCAAACCCCGTACGGAAGTCACTGGTAAAAATTTAAAAAAATCTTGTACGTCAAAAAATGCTCCTTAATGATTAAAAGGTGTTTACAAAATTTCATAGAAATATCTGCAGTGATAAGCAAATTATGAAAAAAAAATATATTTTTTTCTTAAAACTGTAACACCCTGTAGCTCAAAAATTAAGAGATTTACGACATATGTTGATATTAACTTTTCTTCTTAAAATCACCCAAGGATTCACACCCTTAAGTATCGGCACTCAATTAATAAACACCCTGTATAATACAAAATTACATTCTCAAAATAAGTAATCATAAGAAGACTGTTTTCAACAGTTCTCTTATATTTATTTATTTATTTCACAACCCAAACAGGCTTTTAGCCTTATTACATGGATATTATTGCTAAAACTGTTACAATAATTAAATTAATATTATTACACGACAAGTAACTAAACTAAAATATAATATAATATGAACGGCGAAGTTGACAAATTCTACACCAAGTTCTGTGAAATAATGATCAACCCAATGTTGATTGTTAATAATTATGATAGTTTAAATCCCATAATTTTTAAAATAATTTAATACAACTTTCCAATACTGATTAAATGACATATTCCAATCTATAGTATGCATAACATTAACATTATTAGCTAAGGAGAGAATAGAGTAAAGTGGAGAGCAGCGCGTCAATATTTTTAAGTTAAACAAAAGAGTGGAGCGCGTGCGTTTTGGAGGAACATTGAAAGGTATAAATGCTAATAAATTATTTGATGTATTTTGATTATTCATCAAACCAAACAGAAACTTCATCATAGCTTGCTTACGTCTAACGACTAGAGACGTTATTTGGAATTCTGTTCTTAGCATTTGTGTTCTTACATGATTGTAATCGGGCCAACGGTGATGTTTTTTGTAGTATAGATACCGAAGAAACTTATTTTGAATTTTTTCCAGATTGTCAAGATATATTTGTGGTTCTTGTACCCAAATTATAGAAGCAAAATCTAATTTAGGTAAAACAAGAGTGTTGTAAAGAGTTTTGATTGAAGATAAGTTCGAGAATGAGGATGTTTGCCTAGTAATGAAACCAAGCATTTTATTTGCGCTTTTAATGATTTTTTCTATATGAGGACTAAAAGATAATTGATATATAATGAGACTCCTTAACGTTAGATCAATATATTTTCATGCAAGTTGTATGTTTTGTTTTAAAATTAAAAATTATATAAATCATACATATCTTACCAGGTGCAGAAGCAAAAAATGTTAAATATTCCGTTCTTTAAATATGATGGAAACCAAAGATATCTCACAACTATACAGGACCAAAAATATGCAATGCTTTACCTTGTAATATAAGACAAAAAATATAATTTTCTAAAAATGCTAAAAAGTTCATCAGAAGTAATTATAAAAATTTGTCAAAACTGATGTAATAATGCTTACCTTCAGCTCTTTAAAATTTCAGTGCTAGTTAGTGAAACAATTAAATAACATCAATTGTATACCTTTTATTTACGTAAATTTATTAATTATTTAATTGTATTGCACATATAGATGCTTGCATATTGTAACGTGACAAACCGGGCCCTTAACCTAGTTTTCCAAATGCCCTTAACCTTGGTCTAAATTTAGTCTAGTAGATTCCCACGAAGCGATGTTAATAAAACCACAGATTTTTTTTTTAATATGGTGTCATCGGCGTCGACTACTACGGCCATTAGCCTCGTGTTCTGTGTAGGCTTTGTTACTGTTTCCCAGTGCCACTTTAGGAACAGCACTGTTAATTAGAACCCAACAGTGAATGGTCGAGTGGGGAATTCTACCTATGCATTAGAATTAATATTTAATCTTTTTTAATTAAATAAAAATCCCTGCCACCGGTGGGAGTCGATCCTGAGACCTTCCGATCTCAAAGTCGTCACTCTAACCACTGAGCCAACCCACCCCCCAAAAACCACATAATTGTTTTTTTTTTTTTTAATTTGGTGTCATCGACGTCGACTACTACGGCCATTAACCTCGTGTTCTGTGTAGGCTTTGTGTAGAGTTCAATTTAGCTGTAATGGAGGAATAACAAAGTAAACACAGAGATTA